AACATTGGCAAGCAGTTAAACGAATTTTTCGTTATTTAAAACAGACTTCTCATTACAAAATTGTTTATGCAAAATCTTCCAACGTAAACCTGTTCGGATACACAGACGCTGACTACGCTGGGTGCATAGACACAAGAAAATCTACGAGTGGCTATATTTTCATGCTCGCAGATGCCCCTGTAACATGGAAATGCCAGAAACAAACAGTCGTTGCGCAATCTACAACCGAGGCGGAGTACATCGCTTTGGCGTTAGGTGTTCGAGAAGCCCTATGGTTAAAGTCGTTTTTGCAGGAGTTAGGAATAAACCATCCCCAGGTTACAATCAAAGTTGATAATCAGTCAACTATCAAGCTGTCGCAAGCGCAGCAGCTCCATAATCGAACCAAACATATAGACATTAAAGTTCATTTTGTGCGCGATGAAATTGAAAAGGGTAACATTTGTGTTTGTTATGTAAATTCTAGTGATCAGTTAGCAGACATTTTAACTAAACCTGTTACAAAGAATGTTTTAGATCATTGCCTGAAAAATATGAATATTTTAGATTAAGTTGATTTTTGAAATATTTTGTTCTGTATTAGAGTATGTCTGCATATGTATTTGTAGAAATCTTTTTGATTTTTGTTTTCAGTTAGTAACACTCAAATAGGTGGGAGTGTTGAAATATGTAATATTTGGTGTGTTACTTTGCAAACACCTTGTATTTGTTTGACCTTCAACATTCTATTCTATGGTTTACAGAACAGTTTTAACATGTTCGCGTTCGCGCGTTTTGTGTGGTTATGTCAGATTTCCTTTCATTGTTTCTTTTACAAATAAGGTTTATTATAATAAATGTATACCTACGTATCATAACAGCGAGGTTTAATTAATAATCTCAACATTCTCCTCCTAGAAATTGCGTGGTTGCCAACGCTCAAAAATGTCTGCATCGTCGTAGGTTGTATATACAAGGTGGAGCTTTTCAACCTAGTTAGACAAAGCAAGTTTTAGTTTCGTTTGCAAGTATATTTCATTAATTAGATTAGATTAAATTATGATGGTTTTGTAAGAAAATGATAATCACTCTCATTATTAAAATGAAGGGGATGTAAATTAGTTTGTAAGATGTGAAATTTAATGTGATTAATTTGTAATTTGACTCCTGTAGGAATCTGGAATTAATCTAAATTTCATCAGGAGAGGGCGGTAGTTTCGGAGACGTCATGTTTGTTGACATTTCCCACCAGTACAAGTACCATCACCATTTCAGTCCCACTTCCTTCCGAACACTATATAAAAAGGAACCGAAGCAGAAAGGGGGTCTTAGAATCTTTGCCCTGATTCTAAGTACCACAGTCCTGTTCCGGTTTTGATACTGGATGCTAACAAGGTTAAGTTACAGAGAAAAAGATCGACATGAGATAGATCAAACTACAAGGCAGATCAAAGACCCGTTCTGTCAACGTTTCCAGTTGGGTCGCATTCAGACATACAATTTAGTTTCTGTATAAGTGTAAATATTTAGTTAATTTGTGTACATATATTTCTAATCATTATATTACTTATATTCTACCAAGCTTTAGTTAATTAAGTAGTGACCTGGATCTCCGATATAGAGCTACCCAGAACAGCTCCCTGTGTTCCTGAACGTAGGCAACCCAACATACACGAACAGAAAGTGGTGCAGAAGAGAGGTTTTCGAAGTCCTTAGCTGGTTACGAAGAGGTAAAGGGTAGCCTGTAAACCGCTAGGACCAGTACAAGTTTTAAAAAAAGGAAAAGTACCCTTAACTAAAGAGTACCGATAATTGCTTTTTTAAATTTAACATTTAATTTTACTGTTACGGTGGACATAATTAAATATGAATAATAATAGGTATCTAATTACCAAATTAAATATTCGCCAGTTACACGAGGAAACCAAGGCTCAGTCGATACACCGGAACACTCCTTAGCTCAGGATGAAAAAATCTGAGTCAACGTTCAAGGAGATGATGAATGTTCACGATGTCATGCAGAGTGACTGGGTTCCGGAGGGTCAGAAGAAGAGAAACTCCATGCAAGAAAGTTCGGAAAAAGACACCAAGTTGGTTTCTCCATCAAGACAATACACTTTGTCATACAGTAAAGCAATATCTTCCGTACTCTCCCGATTTGGCCCCGCGTGACATCTACCATACCTAAACATTCAATCAGCGTCGAAGGGCCCATGATTTGAAACTCTGGAGGCAGTTAAACAAACATCGGCGGAGCTACTCCACAGCTGGGCAGAGAATGGCTTGTAGTACCGCTACCAACAATGGAAAACTCGAGCAAAGATGTCTAGGGATAGGAAAGGGGTAACTTTCATGTTCCACAATTTTTACAATGGAACCGTTCTGTAGCGTCAGTTCTGTTATTTAAATTGGTAAGAACTCCAAATTTTTATTAATTTCATTTGAATGTGTAGTTCTACGTAATGGTTTTGTGTACATCATTCGATCGCACTCATTTTAACTTAAATTTGAGGACTTATCTACATTCTCCTGCTGCAACATTGAACTTTGTTCCAAATTGGCAAGCAAATTGATAAGGATACAAGGTTTCTGTTAATTTACCGTCTATCACTGCCTTTAAGCACATATAATGCAATCCCGGATTGTTTCCAACTATTCCTTTGTCTAATTCTTTTTTACAAAATGGAATCGGCATGGCGCTGCACTTGTTATTGACCAACTTGGTACTACAGAACGTTGTAATCGGATTATAACCATAACTCTGTTCTCCATCCTTATTGCATTTAGCAGCTCTGTGCTCCAATGGTTCTCCCACAGTCTTTGGCGGTAAGCAGAAGTGATACGACTCGCAGTCGTAAGGATCGGGAAAGATTCCAGTGGAAGAACAACCAAACGGAGGTACTTCGGTGGGAATACACACGGTACCCGTCACACATTTTCCCTTGTCGCAGAACGTTCCAGTCGAACACGTTCCTATCGGATGTATTTTGCAGTTAGTACCAGGACTCTCACAGACGCATCTGCCTATCTCCGAGCAGGATTTGCATGTCAATCCAAGTGGAAGAGTAGTCGACTTGCAAATTTCATTATCATCTCTCTGTGGTGCTTGCCGATAATCAGCATAAGAATTGACAACGTTGACCGTGATAATACAGTGAAGTACCTGAAAAATTAAAGTAATTACATACCATAAAACGCATTTCATTTGGATGGGTTGATAGGCGTGCCCTATTTTTCGTTTGGCACAATCAACAATATCCGCGTACCGTACTTACAGTAAGCTTAAGAACTGTGATAAAAGATGGTTGCTTCATTTTTTCAGTACCTACGTTACGGACAAAGATTGAAGTATTTTTATGAAACCAATACTCTTTATATCAAAATGGTACTGGGTACGTCATCTGAGGTAGTGTCGATAAGATTAGTAGAACAAAGCATTTGAGATTCTCAGATGACCTAATGATAAGTGACATATTGCAAAACGTGTTTTATTGTGGCGTCCCATCCAGATACCTTCCTCACTCATGGTCTGGCGAAAATTTTAATACAACTTTTGAAAGTCACGTGTGAACTGAAACCATTAAATTTAGAAGCGCTTCTGAGATGTAATCTGAGAATTCGAGTACACTTTAAAACTAAAGTCTAAATATGCTTTGCTTTGTGGAGGGACAATAAGTAGCCAATACGTGCATGACGTAAGTATTGCGCCGTAAATAAGTGGGCGCCAGCGCGGCGAAGCTAAAGTACTAAATCGTCTGGTATCAGAGCTGTGGTTAGCCAGGACACGTTGGGTAGAATTTTTCCGATCGGTTTATATCGGTTCCTATGAGTATGCATGTAAACAGGTATACAGAAATAATGCCCTGTATATAAAAAATGTCAAAAAGAAGAGTGTGTACATGAACATTTTTAATAAAAAGTCGACTTCCCGTCCCATTTGAAAATGTGTTATTTGTTTATTTGAACGATGGCACTTAGGTATGGAACACAATATCATTCAAATGTTCGCCACGGTTTCGGAAGCACCCTGCGGACACGGAGCCCTTAAATTATAATTTAAAAAACTCTAAAAATGATTGAACCCTCCACCAGTCCTTGGTCTAGTCCTATAGTTTTTGATAATTCTTATCGGTTTTGTGACTATCGAAAGGAAATGCAATAACTCAGAAAGACGCTTATCCTTTACCGTATCTTTCCTCCACCTTAGATCATTTAAAAGACACATTTTTTCCAGTATCAACATTCATTCCGCTTACTGGTAAGTACCCTTATCTTTGATTCTCAACTTATTTCAGATTTCATTGTACCTGAACGCGGTTTGTTTCAGTTCACTCGTATGCCTTTCGGTTCACATAATTCTCCTGCAACCTTCCAAAGATTAATTGATCGTATTCTTGGTGCTGATTTAGAACCCCTTTATTTCGCTTACCTCGATGATAGTAGTTGGAAAATAGACCTTTCCGAAAACATCTAAAAAGACATAATAGCGAGAATGCATGAACGCATTCAGTCCCGCTGTAACCTTCGACATTAATAAATAACATACAAGAAAGACGATTACGTATGGAAATGAAATTTTGTACTTTCTGACGTTACTAAGAAGCGAGAACTTCAACGCCAAACTTGCTCCCAAATTTATCAGACCGTTATTTCTAGATGGACTTACGAATTAAAAGATAAAGACGGAAAATCTTTAGGTACTTTCCATGTAAAGGACCTAAAACCTGACCCTACTAGTACTGAACCTAGACTAAATTGACTTTTTACATTTTGACTACTGGATTTGGCTTATTGACTTTGTTATTTGCACGTGTAGGTTCGAGTAGGTTTTGGAACCGTTCGAACGGAGTCAATCTGCATAGTGCGGTGGTTTCTTTTATTTTGTTCTTGAGGTGTGTAGTAAAGACGTGATGATGTGTAGAGATTGTAGACTTCGGCTCATTTGGTTTTGTATTTTTAAGATTTTGGGTTTGACCGTCTGGTTTGCATTGCGGATTTGGTTCCTAATCACTTTGCTGCTTCACAGGATCATAATGGTCGATTTGGTTGCTGCCAATTCAATTCGGCTCCAGAAGTGTTATTGCTGGATGATGATATATGCTACTGGAATATATCATTTCCTTTGTAGAAGTTTAACTGGTCTTTCTACTCTTCCATCAAGCATTTTCCTTCTTCTTTTCCGTGAAGTTAGTTAATGATTATTGCCAGTCATGAGTGTAGTTTTTTTCGCTGGTAATTCAAATTTAGTATTCTTATACTCTTGTTTATCTTTAAATTCGACGTTTTATTTGATATTCTTACGCCATCTAGGTATTTCGTTTGGGATCCACCAGTTTTTGATGTAGTTAATTCCTGTAGTAAATTTGGTATTATCTTAGTATGCATTCCTTATTATCTTAGTTCTTTGTCTTGCCGTTAGATGCCCTTCTAGTGTTAGAGATTTCCTTTACCTAATTCCTTGTCTTGTTGCTAGAGTTCGCACTTTGTACCTTTCTGCACTTCCCTTCTTACATTTTATTTTACTTCTTCTGCTTTCACACTGATTACATGCGAATGTTTCTTTTGGCACGCCATTACTTTTCTGACTTGGTGCCTACCGTAAGGGATTTATTGTTTTGGCTTTACCATAATTATCTTTCTCTTGATGTCTGTGGTGGCTCTATTGAAGCGTTTTTGCGAATCTATTTTTCCATATAAACAATACGAGGTATGTTACATTATGCTGCAGCATTTTTGTCTTAATACGTATGTTTTTTTTTGTACGGCTTTAACTTTCCTCGTCGTTTACTTTAGCTTTCCTCAAACTTTGTTTATAGTTTCTCTTCAGTTTTTTTTATGATAAATTTTACGTTGATCTACCTGGATATTACGTATTACTTACTCAGTATGTTGATGATACAGCATTTTCTTTTAGACCAGTCATCTTATTAAGGGTTGGTTTTAGCGCGTCAATCGATGGATGAGTTTCTGCATTATCGGCTGGAAAAAGTCTACTTCAATTGCACCAACTATTACTTGTGACACACGAAGATTCTTGACCGTTCCTGAACTGAATTATTTTGTTTATGTTTTGAATTGATTAGATCAATAGAAATTTAATTATCTGTGCATCGTATTTTTGGGCATTTAACGTCTATTCTTTATACCCCGACGATTGTAAGGATAACTCGTGGTTGATCAAAATGTTGCTTTTACTAGTGTAAAGTCATTCGAATTATTTAATCGCATTGAGTATTAATTACAGTTTTAATTAATATCCGTTTGTCTTCGTGCCAGACGTTAGCATTGCTATTTCGCAATATTTAATGTGCAGCGCGATTCACAATACTTTTAATTTGTTTGTTGTGTATTGCATATTTTTGCTGGTGATATTCACCCTGGCCCACCTCTACATTTCCTGAGCTTACCGTGTGCTTATCTCAAGGTAATTTTGCTACATTTCCCCAAAGTGAACGTAACATAGTTCTCTTTCAATTGTCAGATTATTTAGTTTCGAAATATAAATTTTGCTAGGGGAGAGTTTGTAACCTGTTTTTCTGCCTGAATATTTTAAATTTATTTAACGTTCTTTTTGCTACACCTTAAATTCAACTCAACATTCTTTTTCACTTTTACTTTTATTTCAATACATTTATTAATTAATTTATTAATTTATTAATTATCTGTGTATTTTCTTTGTAAGTTGGTGTAAGATCAATCCATGTTATGGATTTTCATTTACCTTACTTAATTCTTATGTCGCTAAATAAGAGGTCATCCGAATGCACTTTTCTGTATTTTCCCTGTATTGATTTCCACCATTTTGTATGTGCGCATTTCCTATAACTGTAGCACAAATTGGATCGTGGTACTTGTAACGCGCCATATTTTTATCATACTTTTGAGTTGTTTAAAGTTACGATTATTTTGTCATTGCCCGTTTGTAAATCACAGATCGTTTTTGAAATAGCATTTTGCTTCTGTTTGGTTAACGTAAATTGACTTATTGGTTCTTATTAAGTGTTTAAGAAGATTATATAACGTAGAGAGCGAACATCTTATGCGAATTTGCGTGCCAGTGTAATGTTAGTTGCCTACAAGTAATTTTTGCATTTTTTACGAACAAGTATTCGAGTACCCGGCTGACACAATTAAATATGAATAGCTATTTCCAAATTAAATATTCTGAACACCCGTTACACCCCGAAACCAAAGATCAGTCGATACACCGGAACATTCTTTAGCTCAGAATGAAAAAAGAACTCAAAACTCAAAATGTTTATTAATTTCAGTTACATGTAGGTACCTATACATAATTCTTAATTCTAGGAAATGGTTTTGCACATCATACGCACTTACTTTAAGTTAAATCTGGGCACTTATTTACATTCTCCTACTGCAACATTGAACTTTGTCCCAAATTCGCAAGCAAATTGGTAAGGATACAAGATTTTTGTTATTTTACCCTCTATCGTTGCGTTTACGCACATATAATACAATCTCGGGTTTTTTCCAACCATTCCTATGTCTAACGGTTTTTTACAAAATGGAATCGGATTGGCTGTGCACTTGTTATTGACCAATTTGGTACTACAGAACGTTGTAATCGGATTATAACCATAATGCTGCGATCCATCCGCAGTGCATTTAGCAGCCCTATGTTCCAATGGTTCTCCCACAACCTTTGGCGGTAAGCAGAAGTGATACGATTCGCAGTCGTAAGGATCGGGAAAAATTCCACTGGAGGAACATTCAAACGCCGGTACTTCGGTGGGGATAGGCGTGCTACCCATCACGCATCTTCCCTTTTCGCAAACTGTTCCAGCCGAGCACGTTCCTACCAAATGTATTCTGCAGTTAATACCAGGGCTCTCACAGCCGCATCTGACTACCTCTGAGCAGGATTTGCAGGCCAATCCAAGTGGAGGGATGGCGAATTTGCAAACCTCATTAGCATCTGTCTGTGGTGCTTCACGGTAAATAGCATGAGAATTGACAACGTTGACTGTGATAATACAGTGAAGTACCTAAGAAATTGAAGTAATTAGGTACCTGAGTGAAAAACGCATTTCATTTGGATCATGTGATATACGCTTGCCTTATTTTTCGTGTGGCACAATCAAGAATGTCCCCTTTGAAATGCGAAATATAGCAATTGTTCAATACTTACAGTAAGATTAAGAATTGTGATACGAGATGGTTGCTTCATGTTTTTAGTACGTTACGGATAGAATTTGAAGTATTGTTATGAAACCAACACTTTTATATCAAAATGGCCCGATCTTCATCTAAGGATATGTCGATAAGATTAGTAGATTAAACTTTTTGAACAAAAAATTCGAGATTTGCAGATAACCAAATAATAAACGAAGCTCAGTGTAAATTGATATATTGCAAAACGTGTTTTATTACGCCGCGCTGCTATAGCGTATCTTTGAATATAAAATTAGGAAGAAATCTAACTAAATGGGAACTTGTGGTTCTGTGACAATCGGCAGAGAGGCAAGGTGTACCTCTCCCACTTTTATAATAATATAATCGGTTTTATAGCGAATATTATGCTACGAATTGCGTTTGAACTGAAGATTTCAATACCTACTGTGTTCTTTTGTTGGTACGTATTAAGGCTGATTCTCACTATACATAA